TATCTTGATTTATTAAAACTGAAACAAGTTTAAAATCTTTTGATACGTACAGGCAGTCCCCGAGTTACGCGGATCCGACTTATGTCGGATCCGCAGTTACGAACGGGGCCCTCCCTCTCCCTGGTCTCCAGCAGACCAGGGAGAGGAAGCAAAGGGGCGGAACACGCGGGCAGCGGAAAGGGCTGTCCGCTGCCCGCGTGCTCCGCGGCTTTGCTCTGCTTTGCCCCCCGTCCCCCTGGTCTGCAGACCAGGGGGACGGGGGGCAAAGCAGAGCAAAGCCGCGGAGCACGCGGGCAGCGGACAGCCCTTTCCGCTGCCCGCGTGTTCCGCCCCTTTGCTTCCTCTCCCTGGTCTGCTGGAGACCAGGGAGAGGGAGGGCCCCGTTCGTAACTGCGGATCCGACATAAGTCGGATCCGCGTAACTCGGGGACTGCCTGTACGTATCAAAAGATTTTAAACTTGTTTCAGTTTTAATAAATCAAGATATTCCTAGTCATAAAGAAGTATGTTTGAATATCAACATTGCAAAACCATGATGCAACTATAGTAACAAATCAAAATCTACTATGCCCCCCTCTGCCAAGATTGAATTTAAACTAAAAGTATTGTGGCTTTTGGTGTGGGCAAGAAGAATTATGTTTTAAATGTAAAATCTGTAACTAAATAATAATGTACCTTTCAAAAAAAACATTACACATTAACAGAGCCTTGCACATATGAAATTTGTATCTGAATCCATAGTCTGCGTGAAAAATAAAATTATAGTAGACTGATCAGTTTTACTTTCTGGTTCTCCTGCACTTATATGGTATATTACAGTGTTGAACATTTCACTATTTAATTAAATGTATATATTGTGTATGAGTAATAAGCATTCACTATAATATTTGTAAAAAAAATTCATACATTTAATAAAGCTAGCTTCTTTTCAAATAAAATTTTAAAGATGGCATCTAAATTATTTGCTACTGCTTCCTTTTAACAGTTAACTGCAATATTTAAAGGGTATGCTTTATATAACTGTAACTTGTTTCAGATTAGAATTGACTGCAATAATGAAAGGAGTGTCCACACTAAAACGTTACAGAATACCTCCAATGAAGGTAGTCGGCTGCGCACGGGTAAAGATCGTAATCAGAAGAAAGAGAAATCGGACAGCGGGGATGGTCAGCAACCATTGGTGAATGGAGTACCCTAAACTGCATAATTCTAAAGTCATATTTCCTATACTGTTTCAGTGATTCTTATTCCACATTAGAGAAACTTGTTAGGCCAAAGACAAATAGTAGGCAAAATGGCGCAGGGCATGAAATGAACATAAAAGTTCTGTTAGCCTTTTTTAACATCAGCAGTATGCAGTTGTTTTCAGAATAAGAAGTTATACAAATATTTGCATAAAAATATCTGAACTTCTGAAAAATGCTTTCAAGTACATTGTGCACTTCAAACAATGAAAGATTATTTTTGTTTGTTTTAAAAATACTGAGCTGTGCATTGGTATACTTTTTGTTCAGTTGTACCATTTTAACGCATTGGGTCAAAATCACTGCTCAATTTCAATTTTCGTAATAAATAGTGTTTGCAGTAATAAATTGGGCTTCTGTTTTCAATCTAACTTACAAGTTCTTCATGAAATGCTATGTCGTTTTATGTCCTGTGTCAGTTGACGTTTTGGTCCACTTTTTCAGTATTTTAGTGGACCCTGAAATATGTGTGATGTAACAATTGTCATTTTCATTAGCAAAAAAAAAAAAAAAGTTGTATGATCTGTGCCTTTTTTATATCTTGGCAGGTAGGAATATTATATTTGGATGCAGAAATCAGGGAAGATGAGTTGGAAACACTAAATGTAAAATATATGTAGCAAACCTTGTCAGACATTAGTACTTTATAGAAGAATGCATGCTTTCCATAATTTTTTCCTTACATAAGCATCAGGTTAGGCAGTTATAAGAATAGGAAATTTCTTTTGCACTGAAGATTTGGCAAATAGTGTTACTGAGACAGGGGTGTAATTTTTTTTGTAGACAGTACACGAAGTTTAAAAAGAATTCCCTTTCTGGGAAACTAAAAATTCATTTTTACTGAGGGAACAAATGTAACTTGTTCACAAGCTAGTAATGTGTGCCTGCTTTTTGGCCAGATGACCAATTAAAAAATGATAACCTTTCTTCATCCTCCCAAAAGTTTTGAAATTGTTTAAAATTTTAATTTGAAACGTATCTCAAGGGAGATAAAAAGAACATTCCCACACATGATACCCTGTTCTCTACAGGGAGTAAGGTAGCTGTAGAGTAGCTACATTGGAGGCAGGACAAATTCATAATTTTTGAGGTACAAGGTCTGTAGCACAAGAACGTTTGGAAGGAGTCAGGGAACATAAAGGGGGAATTAAACGTACTTTTTTTCTCTTTATTTCTGATCATGAATTAAATTTACTGGGTAAAACTGTGTGAGGACCCTCATTTTAATCTATTCTATTTTTATTGAAATTACTCCAATAGGAGTGCCACTGATTATGTACAGAACTGTACAAACACGACCTTGCCTCTGATGTATTTTGTGAGTTTCGTTTCTTTGCTTTTTTCATTCCACTGTTTTTCCTTGCATACAAGTACGCATATAAAAATGGCAACAAACTGCACATGATTTAACACACATAAAAATGTCTTAAAAAGTATTGCCAAACATTAATGTTCATTTCTAGTTATTTATTTTGGGAATGTATAATATTTGAAAACAGAAATTGGTACCTTGCACACATCATCTGTAAACTGTTTGGTTTAAAATACTGTAGATAATTAACCAAGGTAGACTGACCTTGTAATGTAACTGCTCTTGGGCAATATTCTCTGTACATATTAGCTACAACAGATTGGATTTTATGTTGACATTTGTTTGGTTATAGTGCAATATATTTTGTATGCAAGCAGTTTCAATAAAGTTTGATCTTCCTCTGCTAACTGATGTTGATGCAATCCTTATAAATGATTGCTTTTAAAAACAGTCAGCTTATAAGTAGAGAGAGCCTGTATTTCTCTGTTAAACTTTAACTATAGTAATTGTTCCACATATTGTAGAAAGCTTCTGAAATGTTACCAGTTTTCAAACATTGGCAAATAATGCTTAACAAAAAAAGAACCTTGTAGGTGAAATGGTACAATACATGTTGAGTTATTACAATATGCACTATATTTTTTACACTCAAAGGCTGAGTTGAATAAGGTGCTAACTAGGTTATATGTAAATGATTAATTACTAAAACTTCAATTTGATAGGTTAATCACATTCAATTTTCAAATGCATTTTGGGTAATGGCTTATTTTACAGTATTTCTGTTGCTGAAGTTAAACATTGTATCCCTTTCAATTCAAATTCCAATGTTTTTTTTAAGTTAGTAAATTTCAAAAACAATTTGTAAATCTAAATGTGAATTTTATTTTGAAAAATCATGCATTGTTACAAAGCTTGAAAGTGCAACATGTCTGATGCTTGGGTTCAGATCCTACTGGTAACTTATAAAGTATGGTCTAATGAATTAAAATTATTTTAAAAAATAAAGTTTTTTTTTAAACAGTGAAAGGTATTTGTGAATGGTGCCAAAGATTTAAGATCAAGTAGGATTAAACAACAACCCTCTAAAATAACAAATGTATCTTCAAAAATTAGGAGAAAAATCACTCTTTGTTGGGAGGGAGGTTAGAGAGTTTGTGTAGCCTCCTCAAGGAGGATAAATGTTCTGGTCATTGCTCATGATAAACCTAGTAAAATAGGAGATTTTTCTCTATCTCACTCCCCTTTATCTTCCCACCCCACCTCCCTTAGCACAATTCCAGGAGGAAGCAAATGAATAAAATTAACACTGCTCTCCTGCTCACCATCACTGTGTGCATCTTGGCGGATAATTCTCAATTTTCAGTTCCCCTGTTTAGCCTCATGGAGCGCAGCCTGGCAGATTAATTGCTCCCAGTCACTAGGGATATTCTGAGTGCTCTGGGCTTGCACAGACATACCCCATACAAAGGGAATTCTCTGTTTAGGGAGGCAGGCCAGCAGTCCAAATCAGATTTAGAGAAGAGTACTCCAGAGTATTCTGAAATTATGCTTAAGGGGTCTGCAACTGTCCCAGGCAAACTGTAGTTCTATTCCTTGTGCAGTCTGTGATGATGTAATTTAGGAAGACTGATTTCCTGCTACACTTAAAAGATTGGAAAAGTATCAGGCTGTCATCCCTAGCTGCTGCGATGGGTGGCCATGCCCAAATGTGCAGTGTGTTTCCCAGTCTCTGTTGCAGATTATCCCATTCACCTCCATTTCCTTCCCTCAGCAGATGACTATGGAGCGATAAGCAGGACAGCAGCCCTGAGGTGGAAGAAGTGGAAAACCACAAGGGTCCTCCTGGCCCACCATTTATTTTTTCTACTTCAAAGTATTTTCATCCTCCCCAACTTCTTTCTAGCCTTAGAAAAACAGACTAACAGGCCCAACTAAATGAGTTCCTAAAAGTGGCTCTTTTCCCCATCTTTGAGGATTACTTTTTGATCTTGCATGTGCTCCCTAGGATGTCAGTACAAAATCATGATAGCAGCATTGGCTTTTAGGGGTATTTCTCTCTCCCAGGACAGATCTTGTGGGCGGGGATTTGTACGCTAAAGAACTGATATAGGAATGGATGCCAGAAAAAGAGAACACAGGGTTCACCAGATGGAACACAATGATTTTCCTGTTCTGGATGGAGCAAAGTGTCCTATCCACACCAGTGGAGATGAAAAGATGGGAGGATTTGACTGGCAGAAGTCAGCTTAACGGAATGGCCCAAACACCCAGAAATGGATCTCTCTCTGTTGGTCAGTTTGGTGGGGCTGGTGACCAGTCTGTATTTAAGAAAGTAGATTTGAATTCATCTGGCCATGAAAGTTTTCTCAATTGAAGGGAACTTGAGCTGATGTCAGTGACTGACAGATCAAGCTATCACCAAGCATCAAGCAAGCTGCAGTAATGTAAATGGTCTGTGGACCTTTTTACACAAAGAAAGGATGTTTTCAGGTAAGCCCGATTTCCCTAATGCTACAGCCCAAGGTGAAACTCCTAAAATCATAGCCTCCAGAAAGGCATTTTAAATCAGAGTGCTTTAGAAAATAGAGAAGGATTTGTGGTTTAGTTCATCTCTTCACTGATACATCAGTGTGGGAGTGCTCAGATTTTGTATCTTTACAATGAAGTCAGAAGTATAAGATTATGCCCTCCTGTTTCCCATGTTGGTACTACGAGAAGGAGGGGAGATAAGGCCTGTACCTGTAGGTCTAGCACAGGGAAAGAAGTGATCTTAAGTTATTAGAACTCCATAACATACTCTGTTTTAGTTGGTACTAGCTTTTGGGGGGGGGAAGAAGATTCTGTATTTCACAACTCACTTGACTTTTCCCCTTTCCTGACAAACAGTCTGGGGCAAAGCTATCACCAGTGTGATTTCTATTGTGACCTATCCCATTGGTAACAGAGGTTCCTATTGTTACAGACTTTGCTGCCTTGCTATCCTTCCTCCCCTTCCTGGACAGCTTTACTGTGATTATACCTGCACAAAGACTCCTGTTTCTGCTATAATGACTACAAAGAAGGTAGATAGGGAGCAGGGATATGTCTATTGCGGAGAAATCAGGAATTTTCCTCCACTGTCTTCTTGCTATTTGTTCCTGTTCTCTGACATCAATCTCGGGAAATACTTTACTTTACTTTCCCTTCTGTCCTGAAGCTTCCATTATACTTTCATGAAGGTTACAGCTGTCAATTCACTTTTGACACTTTTTCCTGATCTGTCCCACAGTGAAGAATTCAAACACTACTCTTGGTGGAATTTTTTACTAAGCTTCCAGAAACTGTCCCCCTACAATTTTAAGTGTTTCCATAGTATTCTACAATATTAATCCATCCCAATGCACAAGTGTTTTTCTCTTTAAGCAGCGGAGAGCACTTCTCCATGGGGTTTCCATTATTTCTCAAAAGAAAGTCCCCCTTCAAAATGGATAAAATGCCATCTTTTATGTAAGTTTGTACAGCACCTAGCAAAATGGAGTCCTGATCCCCCCCCAACTGGAACTCCTAGGTTTTACCACAATGGAAATAATCATCATGTGCCTTTCCTCCTTAGGATGCCAGCATGCTTTAAAAGCTAAAGTGAAAGTGAGCCATCAGCCGGGTGGGGGTGGGGGTGGAAATAGGTAGAATCCTGCCAAGGAGTTGGGGAAGAAAAATATTGTCTAGAGATACCCAGACAAACTAACTGTTGACGTGCCCCTGAGACCTTTCATGACTAGGTAGGACAGAGAGAGTTCTGTTCTCATCCAAAAGCACCTCATATTCGGACCAGATCTCCCTATCTTGAGCTTGAAGAACTGAACTGACTTGACTAAAATCTCAACACCTTTACGTTTTCCAGCCTTGGCCCCTAAACATGTACTAAAACTCTTTAAGATTTTTAAAAATGGGGGTATCAATTTTAGACATCCAACCTGAGTCTCCCTCAATGGACGTCCATTTTCCAAAAACTCAGTGTCCTGCCCTCCCTCTGAAAATCAGACCTCTTTTAAGGTGTCTCACATTAAACACCCAACATTTCTAGTCACTTGTGAAACCATCTGATTTTGGAGACACTTTGGTTTTGTTTCTTTAATGGAGGAAGATATTCGTTCTTCTGTTGCTCTCTGTCCTACTTCCTATGCTTTATTTTTACAAGCCTACAAGAAGGAAAAATTCAAAAGGTCTTTTGAGGTAGAATGACTTAAATGGACCTATAAATCTGATTTATTGCAGTAATGATGCAAATGGTGACTGGCACTCTGTTTTGGGGAAACTATGTGATTTTGGTGGTGGTTCCTAGCATCAGTCCAAGTGAGTATAACAAAGAGAAAAGTATTTTAATAGAGCTAGCTAGTAATTTTACTATTGGGAAGATAAAGATGGCAGCTCATCAACATTATTTTTGGCTGTAATATACCAAGTGCTATTGAAATTCCAGTGTTTCAAATTACACAGCATACCGCAGCTAGATTTATTTTTTTTAAAAAATGAAGTATTTCCCCAAATTGTAGCCCATCTCTTTTGCCTGTCTGTCCAGGCTTTAGATGGGAAACAGCTGTCTATTAGCTTTTACCTAGTATTGAATTTTGGCTTTTTTCATAGATTTTTCCACCTTAAAGACATTGTTCCCATTTTGCAATGGGTGGAATTGGGAGAGCCAGAAAACCAAGTAAGAAGGGACATATTTGGTGCCTCCACAGTGTAGAAGGGGCCTTTTGGCAGGCCAAGTTGTCAGGCAGTATGAACAGTAGCAACCCTTGTCATGTCAAACGTGTAACACAACCCTACACATATGAGGGATCCACGCTCACATTTGACCCGTTGCTTTTTGTGATGTCACACCACACTGGCTGCACGTTTTGCTTGTGGGAAGTGGCTCTAAGCTGAGGGGAAATGTGCACCAATATGGAGGTGACATCACATATCAAGTCATTCTGCTCACGAGTAGGGGGTGAGGCCTAGGGGTAGAGTTGAGGGCTCTACATGGGGGTTTGTCTCTAAATGGGGATTCCAGGCTGCTGCAAGTAGTTGGAAGGCAGGAGGGGGGGAGTGGTGGGCTCTAAAATGTGCCTGGGGAGGAGGGGCTTGGGTGGAGGAGGGGGCTCCAAACTGGAGGGTGGATCCAAGGAATTCAGAATACAGGAGGGGGCTGCAGGTTGAGGCGGGTTAGTTGGGGTATGGGGAGGTGGGTCTGAGGGCTCTGGGGTGGGCCTGGGGTTGAGGACTTTGGGATGCAAAAGGAGACTCCAGGTATGGGTGGGAGACTCAGACTTGGTGGTTGGGGTGAAGGAGAGGGGTTGGGATGCAGGAGAGGGTACAGGCTCTGGACTGGGTTAGTGTGTTTTGGGATGGGGCCTGGTATGAGAAGTTTAGAGTGAAGGAGATGGCTCCGGGTTGGGAGGGAGGGCTCAGAGTGGGGTAGGGAGCTGGGGCTGAGGCTTAGCTGAGCTAAAGCGGGCTGCCTGGTGCCTTCCTGTCCCAGGACACCATGTTGCACCCCGAAAGTGGCCAGGTCTGGCTCCTGAGGGTTGGTCATGAGGCTCTGTGGTGCACCACTCTCGCCCACAAGCATCAGCCCCAGCTACCATTGGCCAATGGGAGCGCAAACCCAGTGCACAGGTTGGGGGGGCACACAGAGCCCTGTGGCCCCCACTTAGGATCCAGCTGGCTATTTCCCCACTGGCTCCAGCATAAAGCTGCTCCAGCTGCCTTGCTATCTGCCCCAGCTGCTTTGTGCTGGGGCCAACCAGAGGAGCCTCCTTTCCCGTGGTCGGGACAGCTTCAGGGTTTGGGGAGAAGTATTTCTCCTCCCTGCCGCCCTGAGCCCCTGCATGGGGCTTAATGGGAAGTTGTGCAGCCATGCAAATTAGAGGGAAATTAGCCGTCAGGTCCTAAGAGTCTAGGGTATACAACCAGCCAAGGATGCAAATGTTCAGAATCTCCACGGTATGAGCTCTGTTTGTGTCTAGAGCCTTGCCAATCTGCAGATATCTGCTTTATATCCACATCTCTGGCTACAAATGCAGATATCCTGGGACTGATTCTGCAGATCATGGGCTGATGCGGCTCCAAACTTTATATAGAAAACCCTACAAATCTGTGGATATGCACGGGTCATTTTTGCAGATCACGAATTGGCTGCAGATACACATTTTGTATTCATGTAGGGATCTATCTGCTTGTGTGCAGGGTAGTTTCAGCTTTGCAGCCCTCTCTGTTCTTAGTACGGAAGGATTGGATTGCTCTCCAGAAGAAGGGGAAATCTGGGCTTGACCAGGTCCATCAGCAGTATAAACAATTGTCCATGCAACTCGATTAAAGGAGTAACTCCATAAGCTGATAGCAGTAGTAGGATCTTATCCTCTTCTGTGGCATATAACGTCACAGTTTTTCCAAGAAATTTCTGCAAATTTTATTATAAAATAAGATGACTGCTAGCCAGACAACATTTCCGCAATGTCTGCCACTAGTATCTCAGCTATGAGATGCTTGAACTCAAACTTGTGTTGACTCTTGAGTCCTGAGGCTTCGTGATGTTTTGTTTCTCAGGTTTCACCACCTCTCCTTTTAATCCATCTGTTCTTGAGATTGCCTTTGCCATATTGCATAGTTAATTTCTTCCTTTTCAATTATTACCTTTGTTGTACCTAGAAAGAGAATTGTCTTGGGGTGAAGGCACTGGCCTGAGGCATAGGCAGTCTGGATTCAACTCTTTTCTTTGTCATAGATTTCCTGTGTGGCCTTAGCAATTTCTCTTTGCTTCATTTCACTGCTTGTTAAATGTGTATTGTAAGGATATTTCCTTCCCCCTACCTTTGGGCAGGTCTACACCACATCTGTAAATCAACCTTAGTTACACTACTTCAGTTGTGTAGAATCATAGAGGGGGAAGAGACCTCAGGACGTCATCAAGTCCAGCCTCTTGCCCAAAGTAAGTTAATGTAAGTTAAGTGAGTTATGTAACTGAAGTTGGTGTAACTTAGGTAGACTTATAATGCTGTCTACACTGCACTGCATAGACAAGAGACACTATACTGCCAACTTAGACTTCTCAGGAAGCTGGAGTATGGAAATCAACGAGCGCTCTGCCATCGGCTTAGCGAGTCTTTACCAGACCAGATAAATCGAGATGCTGCATTGATTGCAGCTGTGCTGATCTAGTAATAAGTATAGACACAGCTAATAAAAGTGTGAATTCTGTGGGGACAGAGATTGGTTCATATGATCTGTGGGTACAGTGTACAATAAGATTCTGAGGCTTTGAAGGGCTTTATTTAAATAATGAGAAGGACCTACATACATAGTTATCTGGTCCTGTTTTTAAGTAATCTACAATTTGTATATAAATGGTCATGCTTTCGATCTTGACAATTTCTAGTTGAAAGGATTCTTTAGTATATTTAAATTTCACAGCTATAATTCTTTGTTCATCTTGGTTCATGAAGCAAATTGAAGTAATATAATTGAATACAGTCAAAAATGACATTTATACTTAATTCTGTTAGCTATCAGTATGCACAATTCATAACTATAAATGCCTTTGTAATAAAAGATAACCAGTATGAACATGTCATTGCATGTAATTAATTATGGATATTTTGATAGTAATGAGCTAGTCATTATGAGCTTTCAGGTTTGGCTTCACCAAGTCAGCATATTGTAAAAAGAAGCGAAGTGGCACCCAACAAACCTAAAACAAAGCTGGAAGATATATCAGAATCTCTGTTCAATTTCTTCAATCCAGTAAGTAAGTGTTGATGTGGTCAGTGCATTGTTCTCCCTCTTTTTACCTGCACCGATTGTTTTGAAAGATTAACCCGTTCTGTAAAACTTGGTTACAATATAATTTAGCAGGCTCCATTAAAAGTGGCATTGTCTCCATGTTCCTTTATATCCACATTTGGACCATAGATTTGCTGCCATTGTTTCACAATTGTTGCCTGCTTTAAGGTCTTTCGTAACATGTTATATTCATGTATGCAGTGTTGTACAGGGCGTCCCTGCTATAAGTCCGTTCTGCACTAAAGTTGTTGACACTTGTAGAAACTGATGCGTTGTAAGTCTTCCCATTCCCCACTCTTTCATCGCGCAAAAAGAAACCGATCTGCGCAAATGGAAGTCAGTCCTGAGGAAAAAATTCTTCGTCTAAGTCCCAAGTTTTTTGGGAAGTGTCTTGGATTTATAGTGAAGACAGCCTGCATTCATGCTATGTAATGCTAAACACTTGCTGAGTAGTGTGCTTTATCCATAAATATTCCTATAAACATGGACCCCACGATGCTTGATGATAAAAGGTCTGATTCTGCAGTCTTCACTCAGCCAGGACTCCTTTGATTTCAATATGGGACTTTCAGATGTGCACGGAATGCAAGAGGAATTCCTTATGGCCACGTCTATTCTATGCGGAAGATCGATTGCGGCAACCCCGTTCTTCCCACTCCCCCTTCAACAATTTCTAATATGTATTTTGATATCTAACTCTTTTATGTGAAAGAATCTGTTTTTGGGGAACATACAGTTATTTTTTTAAACACTGAAAATACAAGTTTTACAGAAAAGTAAACGCAAGCTAGTTGGAGATGCCCCATTATTCTAGTGAAGACCCGCTAATTTGAACTGAGAGGGCATCTCCATTGGCGCTGTTAGTCCTGTCCCTTGTGGGGAGTAAGGGAAGTTGAAGGGAGAGAGTGCTTCTGTCGACCTCCCACTGTGTGGATGGTGCACAAACATAATTGAAGGTACGTTGACTCCAGCTATGTAATTAACATAGTTGGAGTTGCATATCTTAAGTCGACTTTCCCCTTTAGTGTAGACCTGGCCTATGACAAATGAGAGCAATAAGAAAAGGGGAAATAAGTATGAGGAGAACTATAGTTACTCAGATCCTCATTTGGGGGGGGGGGGGTCAATCTGCAAACCTCATCGAAAGTTCCTGGAGCTGCAACAATTTACACCATCTGAAGATCTATCCCCACAGAGTAACCAATTAAAATGCCTGATTCTGTACTATTTGACCAAATTGGCCATTTGCCATTGACTTCAATGGATAGAGGATCTAGGATGCAGTATAAATGAATTAAGCAGGATCTATATCATATCCCATAACTGCTGTGTCATATGTCTAAGGGAAGGTATGGAGTTGCAGTTTAACTGAAAGCCCCATTTTTCCCACTCGCACTTCAACAATTTCTAATATTTACTTTGGTATCTAACTCTTCTATGTGAAAGACTCTATGCTTTTGGGGGAATATATGGTTATTTTCTTGAACACTGAAAATAGAAGTTTTATAGAAAAGTAAATGGCCAATAGTTGGAGATGCCCCATTATTCATAAATATTTTATACATTTATACTTTTATACAGAGTTTCTGTCTAAATCTATTATGAAACAGCAAACTTTAGAAATGTTTCTAATATTACTGTAGCTACTTGGATAATATTTTCTTAGGTTTTCTTAGTCATTTAGAAAATGACTTCCCACTAGGTGCATACACATGTAACTGTCATGCATAGAGAAATATAGTAGGTGCAGCCTACTAAGTTGTTAGTCTTTCAGAAAGCCATAAGTTAGAATTAAAACTGTTAGGGTTTTTGCGTGTCTTTTTCTTTGAGAAGATCTCTGATCAGAAAGTTAAATCTAATTTCCTGGTTATTTTTCAAAATTTTTAAAAATAGACAAACACAACACTGTGGGTACATCTACACTACAGAGAAGATTGAAATTGCTGATGTCTAGTGGGTCTAGTGAAGACACGCCAATTTGAACTAAAAGGGGTATGCCAGTTGATACCGGTAGTCCTGTTTCCAGGAGGAGTAAGGGAAGTTGAAGAGAGAGTGTTCTCCCTTTGACTTCCTGCAGTGTAGACAGTGCTAAAGTTAAGTTAAGGTACTTTGACTTCAGCTAGGCAATTAACATAGCTGAAGTCGCATATCTTAATTCAACCTTATCCTGTAGTGTAGACATACCCCATGCTATTTAGACTATACTTTTCTTAAATACGTTATTAATGTTTCTGTTCTTGAAACATCAGCAGTTCTTTCCAGGTGTCTTAGGTTGTATGATCTAAGCTTCTTTTTAGCTTTAATTGTTATTTGTTATTATTTATTATCACACAGTGCCTACAAATCCTAATTATGGGCCAGTACCACGTTGTGCTAGGAGCTGTACAAATACAGAACAAAGAGATGGCACCTGCCCCAAGAAGCTTACTTCTCATATGAAGTGAATATTCCATATCCAAAAATTCATCATTTATGGAAATTGGTTATACCAGTCCCTTGAATATGCATCCCATCAGAACATGCTGAATATATATAATTATCATAGCATTATAAAATATGCAAATGTATAGTTATTAAATAAATTATCATTATTATGTATTTATTGGATGGAGCATTGTTCTTAGAACTAAAACCTCATGCTTTATTTAATTTTTGAAAGCGTGTCGTCCCAAAGAAGATCAAACAGTAGTCGCTTGCCATGCAGGAGACAATATTAACGAGACCACTTGTCTGAAAAATAGATGTTGTCACTCTTCCAAAAAAAGCAGTCAACTCAAGTGCTACGCCCCGCTCAAAGACAGTGAGTAAGCTTGTCCTGTGAACTATTGCAGAATTCTCTTTAACCAAATGCATCATCTGCTCAGATCCTGTCATTTTGTACTGTTTATTCCCTTATCTTTTCAGTGTATCAACTCAGATAGGTAACCTATAGCTTGTTGTCCTGGTTGCATGTAATTAGGGCTGTCAAGTGACCTGCGTTAATGCCTGCAATTAATGCAGGACAGGATTAACACATTAATTTTTTTAATGTGTTAATCGCAGGCATTAATGCTGCGCTGCCCCTTTTGAAATGCCATTCTGGCACCTCAAAGGGGCAGCACAAGGGGAGCCAGGGATCAGCTGGAGTGCCCGGCTGATTCCTGGCTCCGCATTGCAAAGCCCCATTTAGTGCCACTCCTGCGCTTCAAAGGTGCTTTGCAACAGCTGATCTCAGGCTCCTTAATGCACTGCTCTGTGGAAATCCCCAGCTGATCCCGGTCTCCATGCAGCGCTGCCCCGTTGAAATGCCGTCACAGCATTTCAAAGAGGATGTGCACATGATTAATCATGATTACATTTTTTAATCGCTTGACAGCCCTACGCATAATGTAAGAGAGAGGTCAAATCACTGATACAGAATGATCTGCATTTGCTTGATAAGCTGGGCAGAAGCAAATAATGGGTGTTTTAACGCGACCATATGTAAGATCTAAGAACAAAGAATGCAGACCATATTTGCAGGAGAGGGGACTCTGTTCTTGAAAGCAGTCTGAAAAAGACTGAAGGTTCATTAGCTGAACTTGAGCTCTTGGTGTAACACTGCTGCCAAAAGATTTAATGTATAAACCAGTCGAAATACAAATGGGAATATTGAGAAACTAGAGAGGTTATGCCGCTGCTCTGTATTTGTCATTAGTGTAACCGCTGATGGAATACTGTGTCCAGTTCTGGTTGTGATGGGGGGAGGTCACAGATGACCTCTGGAGGGTGATTCAGGGGTGCTGACAAGGCCACTGCCACCCTCCTTTTGCTCTCTGGGGCTTCTTGCCACCCTGTCCTGCTGCTATGTGAATACTCTAGGACGTTCAATATATGTCAAAAGAACATACACTTGGGCCTGGTCTACACTACAGCAGAAGGTTGATTTAAGATATGCAACTCCAGCTACATTAATTGTGTAGCTGGAGTTGACGTATCTTAAATCAGGTTTCCGTGCCATCCACATAGTGGGAGGTCGACAAGCAAATGCTCATAAGGAACAGGAGTACCGGCACCGACGAGGGCACCCTTTGAGTTTGATTTAGCAGGTCTATTGTAGACCCGCTAAATCAAACCACAGAAGATCAACTGCAGCAGTGTCAAGCTTCTGTGTGTAGTGTAAACATAGCCTTATGGCTCTGGGAACACAAGCTGTGTATATCATAACAATCTGTTGACAAATGACAAACAATTAACAGATATTAGATTTAGGGCACTCACGTTTCTATACGGGATTCAAGGGCTTGATCTAGGGAGATTTGCTATTGACTTTAATGGTAACAGGCTTAAGCCTTAAGAAAATGTTGCAAAAGCTAGCGACACCAGTAGGTGAAGGGTCATGTCTAGCAGAGGTGGCCATAAGTGTTGGAGCTAAAGAGTCCTGTATGTGCTGCTGATTTGAAATGGTTTACAGCTTGATTGAGAGGCTCTCAACAATCCACTGTACAAACTGTGGGAGATGCTTCTGAATTGGAACAGCAGCCTATATTTTCATGACTTACTGGTGACTTATGTGTCTTAATTGTGAGGTGCCCAAGTTAAGAGACTTTTAAAGGGGGACTTCTATTCAGGCTCTGGGTGCACACAAGTTACTTCAAAATAAAACCTGAGGCATCCATCTAAACTTAACAAGTATCTGTGGCATCTGGATTCTGATCAGCTTTGATCTGAGTCTGGCCTTATTTCTAACATCTGATTATATTGCTCATTCAATAGGACTAGTTAAACACATCTGGCTTTCTTAGATGTGGTTTTCTTTGTTGCATCAGTGCTTGAGTCTAGATCACACATAATATTTAATATATACTTCTATTGAACCAACAGAAATCCAGCTGACATTGCCACTG